GTACCTCACAGGTATCTGTCATCACCAGTGCAGAACGAATCCATACGAAACAATGGGAATTGAAGTTCGAAATAGAACCCTCGACGAAATCCGGAAATCTAGATACTCAACTCTCATCTTGGACAACACTCAAGATACGTCGCACAAGGATCAGACAAGCCTGATTCTAAGGTACGTCTATCTTGATCAGCGGAAGGTGTGGCAGTTACTCATTTCCCGCCGCAGTAGCAACATTGCGGATCGAGATTAAGTTGGAGGGTACTGCAATCGTGCAGGCCGAAGGAGAATTATTATTCCTGACCACAGAAACGAACAAATTCCAAGCAATCTTCTTTTATCCTCATAATAAGGATTGCTCCTCCTTCCTCATCGGCTTCGCGTATCATCTTGCTGGTCACTGAGTTGACTCAGTGACCAGCAAGCGATGAGTCAAACGGATAATAATATAACGATAATGTTATAATTTATAGTGTCTTGTTTGTCTTGGAGCGAACTGCGCCTAGCGTGCATGTACTCCCCTCCGAACAGACAAACCGAGAAGCAGGTGGATGACATGGGCTCCCTGAAGCCGCTACGCTCAGACAGCAGGAAGCCGGCGTATTCGGCGGGAGACTTCAATGAATTGCAAAATCCTCATCTACAACGCTAGTCCGGGACCCTCCAAAGAAGCTCCCGGGGATTTAGGGCTCACGATTCACGATATGCTCTTCGATAGACCAGCCGTCGAAGCCAACAAGAGCGGCCACAGGAAGGGAGACGGCCTAGCACTGCCAAACACTGAACAATAACGATCGGGAAAACCGAATCCTGTACTTCGAGGGATGGGAACTCTAACCACAGACAAAGCCCCATCTCGAGATCTAGCCCTTCGCCCAAAAAAAAAACTGCGTGCGCAACTGACAGCGAGTGCGAAAGACTGAAGGTTTAAGCCCAACAACACTCTCACATCGCTGTCAAGATAGAGCATAGAAAATGCAAACTTACGAGGAGACGAGAATACGAAGTGAAAAGCAGAATAGACAGAATGAGGCGGAGCTCCTACAAACCATAGGTCCTACTCCCGAACCGATCAATGAATCCTCCGATAAGTGATGAAGACGGGGAGACGCATTTGCGAGCCTCCTCGACCAGAGGAACCTCAGAGAAGACGACAGGGAGGAGAACATCCTGTCCGCAACTGAGGAAACCGAGTAGCTCAATACGCTGAGAGATGCGAGCTCAGAGGACATCAGCGATGAAGAGATCTTCGAAGTCCTGAGTCGCAAACCGAACGGCAATGTCGATCACAGAGCTTCCGGAGGTGATTTCGTATGTTGGCTTTGTCGTT